GTTGCGTGTCGCTTCGCGTTGAATTTTCGTCGATGTTAAGCCTAACGAAAACTATTGTATCGTTAAAAATTATTTTTTTATTTTGTACAAACAAAATTAATATATTGAAAAATATAAAAACAATAAAAAATTATACGTCAAAAGTTACTTTAATATCAAAAACGTAAAATATTTGAGTAGCCCAAGATATAGCCAAAGATTGCAGTGCCACAGCACCGGCAAAAATTGAAATTTGTTGACTGGAATTCTTTCAAATGTTTCGGGTTATTGACTTCCGGATAATCGACGCTCTTCTGTATATTGGGAGCATTCTTTCTTAACGTTTCTAACCACAGTTCTTTTTGTAGCAGAAAACAAACCTTGCTTTGGTTAATATTCATTAGTGGATTATAGCATCTTCTACAGGATATGCAATTCCATAATATATTTGTCTACGGTGCTGTCATTTTCTGTTTTTAAGCACAGAAAATTAAATCCTGTCATCATCTTAATGAAAACCAGAAAATTTTTTGATTGAAGATTTCAACAAGTCTATTCACAAAATTTGTATCATCATGTTCATAATTTTGTTATGTTTCACTTTTGCACAGCCAATTTTCAATGTCTATATCATATATCCAGCATTGGATATGAGTAATGAATATCATTCGGTGAATCTGTTCTGTATATACAATTTGCAATTTCACTGCCCTTAACTGTTGGGGGACTGATTTATGCGTTTGAATTATTCAATAATTCATAATAAAAAACTTCTAATAATAATAAATGAATAATTTATCATAATAATTATTATTAATTTCATCAAACACGTTTATAATAGCGTACATTTTCATTCGAGTTAATTTATTCACTGTTCAATAAACAATTAACAACAGGCATTTAATAATGCGCTAATTTCAGAGATACCACTACCTTCCTGAAATATTAATGCTTATTGAGAATACAGAACGGCATTACCTAAATGCTGCTGATATGCGTATTTTTTAAAAGTACTTTATATAAAAACAAAAGAATTAATAAGAACAATTCGAATTTAAGTTTAAAATTAGAAGAGACATGCCGAATATTGAAACGTCAATCAGACCAACACAAGTTTTAGTTTACTACCTGTAATATTGTATTTCGCAATTCTAGTAGCAACTATTCTCATGTATTATGTGTTTATCTTCACTGACTTGAACTCGATGATGCGATTTACTTTTCTCATATTTGTTATTTTATATTGTTATTTCTGTTGTGTATCATTTTTCTTTCAAATCTACCGATCAATTAGTTTTAATATATTTAATTATTTCTGATGTTTTTCAGATGCAAACCTCGTTTCGCGATATCCGAAGATTTTACGAATGCGATTTAAGAAACATATTAAAATATTACAATTATCAAAAATTTTATAATTAAATAAACGTATCAAGGTAAATAACGTAAGAAATCCTTGCCAACTTTATTAAAATTGTTATTAGCAGGAAAATAAGATTTGAGCAGTAAAAATTGTATGTATTTTTTTGCAGTTTTATTTTTATTTTTAAAACAATTTCTTTTTATTTTTTATGTACTTAACTTTTTAAAAGAAGAAATTTTTAAAAATCGTTTGAGAAGCTTATTGTGATATTAGAAATAGCTGTATCAGTAGTGTTCTATCATTGGAAGCGGCGCTTCCAAAGATAGAACACTACTGAACACGACTGGAAAACTATAAACTATCTAAAGCATATGTCAATAGTGCATATAGAATGTAATTACTCTAAATGCTAAAGAGCACAGAAGGCAGCCACAAATTATGCTAATGCAAGTGATTCAAGTGCAATGCAATGAACCACAAATTATGCTAATGCAAGAGTTCAAAGGCGATTAAAACATTCAAACAACACTAAAATCAAAGAAGGGTTATTTTAATTTTTACAGTTTATCATACAATTATACATTACCTATCAAATGCGTTTCGCTAAACTAACAATGCTTCGGACTTTTCGGTGATAATACAATTCAATACTCGTGCACTGTATTTATAGTTTACAAATCTATATCGACAGGCATCAACATAAATGATATTATGTAAATTTAATATTGTTTATACAGTATTATTATTATTTATTATTGAAAAATGTTCCAAAAATGTATTCATTTCTTTAAAGAAGGTTTATATATGATCAGAATTGATGCTACAATTTGATTCACTGCAATATAAATACATAGTGACGTCATAATACCCTATGTAATAGCTGCTTGGTGCTCATTTACTTTTTGCCAGTAATGTATTTGTTACTCCTACATCATATTTCATGTGATTTTCACAAGTAAGAAAATGTCTTGTAAACCTCTCTTTACTTGTTTTTTATCATGTAATATTCTTAATATTCTAATTGTTTAAAAAGTATAGTAAGTATATAATAAGTAGAAATACGATAAATTTCAATGCCAATTCATCAAAATTTATTGTTCTATTATTGTATTTTCATATCAAGTACTATGTTTCAAGTTATGTAACTAGAAGCAGAACGTTTCATTGAATAATGAATAGAAAAAAATTCCGTTCAAGTCTTAAAGCTTGCCTGTGTCTTTTTCAGTGTCGCCGATTTTTATTCTTGTCGATATTTTTACAGTACCTTTATTTCTTCAGACAAGAAAAGAGTCTTACAATAAACCATGTAATAGTTACTGGATAACAAGTGACGATTACTTATGTAATAGAAAAATGCTAATATCGGATTAAGCTTAGCGAGGTAGCCAAAAACCTGCGCTTGAATGCTCTCAAAATGGAATGAAATCTTCAAAATATTCTCTAATTAAAGTATTTGTGAAATTTTACTTCTGGTCATTGATGTGCTACGTAACAGGAAAGAATTGTCTGCTCGTAAGTTTGTGAAATCAAATTTTATAAAGACTTTTTCATTTTCAACGTCATTTGCACGAATGTCAAATTTTTCAATTTTCAGTGGCCGATCTGAGTTTCAAAAGACCAGAAAATATAGAATGAAGAGCGTTGCCCATCTAAAAGAATCACATCAAGCATATATAAAAAATCAATTATTTACAATATTTCAAAAGTTAAAAAAGTACCTTAACTGGAAACTTTTTCGTAACATTGAAGTAGCCTCTTATTGATATACATAATGAAACTTTTCCAAATCTCTTCATAAAGTTTAGAATCTGAAAGAATAAGATACATTTTGATATTAGGGGAGATCGGGCAAGATCGGCATGTTAAGCTTTACTTAAATTTTCTGTAATAAATACTGCTGTAAACTGAAAAAAAAAAGCTTTGCATATTGTCTATTGGAATGCTACCTTACTATAGAACTGGTTAAAATCAATTTGGAAATAAAAATAATTAAAATAATTACAACTTTACAAGAAGAGAGAAATTGACGAAGTTGCCCCGGGTATAGGGGCAAGATCGGCAACTTCTCTCTTTTTGTAAAGTTGTAATTATTTTAATTATTTTTATTAAAGTTGCCCCTGGTATAGGGGCAACAGTAATGGGGCAAGATAGGCACGTATATAAAATTATGTTATTAACAATGTATAAGTTGGAATTCACTATTAAAACAAAGAAATACAAATCCAACACCCATTTAATATTATTACAACGAAATGCAAGTTCAAAGACATATATACATGAATAACAAATGCAAACATGTTTTCATTTATCATCTGTTTGATTTTTATCCTTTGCTTCTAATGTGGCTTTATGTTGCCGATCTTACCCCGCTAGTCATGATTTCGAAACATTAAGTACAACCCTGAGAACAGAATGCCAAGCCACGATCTGGCCACGTGAATAAGTTGAAGTTACATCCTTCTAACAGGAAAAGTAACTTTCGTTATCATGGAATTATAACAAAACCTGCCAATTCAATATAAATGGAAAAAAAATATTATATGGAATTGAACGAAAATGAAAATTTGCTTGATAATTCAACTACGCTTGTTGGAGAACAATAAAAACACTACACTCAACAAGCCACCAATAAAACTCAACTGCCTAACCTATAACCAAAGTCTCCTTTTAATTTGTTTTTTAAAAAAAGCGCTTGACAAACTTGCCCCGCATGCCGAAGTTGCCCCGATCTCCCCTAAGTGTTATAATAAATAAAAGATAATCTAAAACTCACTTTCAGTTTCTGTTCAAGCGACAAATCGCATGCAGAAAACCTTCGGATATCTTGAAACGAGGTATGCATCTGAGAAACACCAAAAACAATTAAATACATTAAAAGCAACTGATCGGTAACTTTGAAACAGAAATGATAAAATACCGTAGACGTTAACGTTGAACCTTCGTAACCAATTATAAGACATACGATTGAAAGTAAAATGACAAACAGGAAAACGATAAATCTCATAATGCTGTTTAATTCGGCAAAGATAAATATATAATACGCAAGACTAGTTTCTAATAGAATTGTGAAATAAAATATTGCAGTTAATAAACTAAACTTTGTGTTGATTTGATTGAGGAAGTTCCAAAGTTCGGCATTTTGCAACATTATGTCTTCTAGTTTTAAACTTAAATTTGAATTGTTCTTATTAAGTAGAATTAAATCATTTGATACTTTTTGAAACGCTTTATTTATAATCAAGTATAAACATATCATAATGAATAAGAAATGTATCGCTCCTCCAATAATAAAGTTTGCTGAAACCCCAAACTCACCACTACAGAAGAGAATGATAAAATCATTTTCGTTAGTTTTATCTAATGCTGGATATGTCACATAAATATTGAAAATTGGCAGTGCACAAGTGAAAGAAAGCAGGATTATCCGCACGATAACACTAATTTTGTGAATAGACTTGTTTAAATCTTCAATTAGCAGATTTTCTGGTTTTATGAATATGATTATCGGAGTTATTTTTTTGCGTTTAACAACAGAAAAAGCGAGCGACGTAAACAAATATATTATTGTAAAGCAGATCCTGACGAAGATGTTGTAATCCACCATTGAATACCAACCGAAGCAAGGTGTGTTTTCTGCAACAGACGGTATTGTCATAAGAAGTAGTAAGAAAAAGTATTGCCAATATACGAATTCTACAAAGCATAAGAAGATCTTTTGCAATAATTTATGTTTCGAATGAAACAGTCGACAGTAGCATCGATCGAAATAGTTCCATCCGTAAATTAGTGCTGTGGGCAGGTGAGACTGCAACAAACAACTAACACATATTTTATATCTACGAACGTCGGCCATGAGTAAAATTTCGAAGCCAGGAGTATATCAACAGTGTCCAAAATAGATAAGTATAGTAAATTGATAATATAATTTACTAAGTAAAACTAGAACTTCTAGAAAGTATAAATACTTTAATATTTTGACTATTTTACTAATTTATACAATAATCGTTAACTATTATTCCTGCATTCGTATCTATAGTAAAGTTCACGTTAAGTTTGAAGCACTGTGAAAGCTACAGACCTCTTGCTATACGTTCGTTTCTGTTAGTTTCAGGAATATAGTGGCAGCTCCAAGTGTCTTGGTGAGTCGATAAAGATGCTGTCACTTTAATAAAAGTCAGTTACATAAAGTGCACTGCATCACCCACTTTAGTGCATTTAGATAATTGACTTTTTCCATCATATAGTAAAATATTTTAAAAGCATCATAATATATATGATAATATAAAAGAAATTTTTTGTCATTTCACTTATAATAAATATTGTTTATGTGGAAAATGACAAGGTATGCTTGTACGAAGTCTGAAAAATATTCTTCATGACGTCTGTTACGAACACAGGAACAAGCGATAACAAATAATCTTCACGTGATGTTTTTTAAACTAACTTTTTAAACATTTCTTTAAATATATACAAATATTTTTTACATTTTGAAATATTTAATAAATATTTTAAGAAAATATGTATATTTTTTTATTAACTACATCTAATATTTCATTAAGACATTAGTTGATGATGTCTTGTTAAATAAATTCATTTATTTTGAACATAAGAAATGACGCATTAATACAATTTGAAAGAAGTACACAATTAAAAAGAATACAAATAACAGTTTTTCTTCTGTAACCATTATATAAAAACTACTGAGTACTGTATTTGTTTCATCATTTTTCCATAAAAAGTGTCAGGACAATAATAAGTTTATATTTACAAAATTTAAGAAAATTCGTTAAAGTAGACGATAAATAAAAGTGTTTTAACTTTTTTTTTGAAAATTCTATTACGCCGTAAAATTGTGAATTTCTGCTTTTGCATACAAAAAGCCTAAGTTAGAAGACACTTTTATGTCTACTTTAAAAATTTTCTTAAATTTTGTAAAATTATTATTTTGCCTTTTTTATATAATTTTTGTCAAAGAATTATTTTATTGTATTTAGTTGCTTTTTAAGTGACGCAACTTCAGTCCCAAGAATTCGTAGGTGATCTTTAGAGATCACCCAGAATTCTTGAGATGGAAGACGAAGTTTTTTTTCTAAAGACTGTAGTTTCATGTATTTCCTGGTATTTATGTATATATAGCAAGGGAAAATATCGGAATCGTGTCAAAGTTGACACTTCGAGTATTTTGCAAATCTTCACTGCTTGAAATTTCTCGAACCGAAAAAAGTAAAAAAAAGTTCAAGTTTTCATGTATGTATTGCTGCTAATTTGTTTTTTTTTTTTTTTTATTTANTCTTCAAATATATACAAATATTTTTTACATTTTAAAATGTTTAATAAATCCTTTAACAAAATATATATTTTTTTATTAACTACATCTAATATTGCGTTAAGACTTTAGTTGAAGATGTCTTTTTACATAAATATATATTTTTATACACAAAAAATGTAGCATTAATGCAATTTAAAAAAAGTATACAATTAAAAATAATACAAACAACATGCTTTCTTCTGTAACCATTATATAAAAAATACTGAGTACTGTATTGATAAATTTTATCATTTTTTTCATAAATATTGTCAGGACAATAATAAGTTTATATTTATAAAATTTAAGAAAATTGTTAAAGTAGACGATAAATAAAAGTGTTTTTTCACTTTGTCCTTTTCTTTTTGAAAATTTTAACTATATTACGCCGTGGAATTGAGTTTCAGGGTGTACGTACAAAAAGACAAAGTGAGGAGAAGAAGACACTTTTATGTCTACTTTAAAAATTCTCTTAAATTTTGTGAATTTATTCTTTTGAATTTTTTATATAATTTTTGCCGAAGAATTTTTTTATCGTATTTTGTTGCTTTTTAAGTGACGCAACTTCAGTCCCAAAAATTCGTGAGTGATCTTTAGAGATCACCGAAAGTTCTTGAAATGGAAAACGCATTTTTTTCTAAAGACTGCATTTTCATCTGTTTACTGGCATTTATGCATACATAACAAAGGAAAAATACCGGAATCGTGTCAAAGTTGACACTCCGAGTATTTTGCAAATCTTCACCACTTGAAATTTCTCGAACCGAAAAAAGTAAAAAATAAAAAAAAATACAAGTTTTCATGTATGTATTGCTACTATTTTGTTTTTTTCTTTTTTTGTCTTTGGATGAAATAAAGCTTGAGGAAATTAATTTGACACGGTGTCTTCTTTATGAAAGGCATTGATGCTAATAAATTTTCGTTGTGAAAAATCAAGGAAATGGAGACATGTAGAGTTGCGTTATGTGTGGCTTGGGTTCAGCAATGAAAATTTCACTTGTTAATATTCGCATTGTTTTATAAAACACATCTCTGCTTCAAATTTTTTGGCTATTTAATTCTAATTGGAGGGGCGCTTCTAACGTTCATCGGTGTTGGAGTGATTTTAGTGAGAGCTTGTTTTGAAGAGTTAATAGGAATTTAAAAGATGGAAATGCTATGGATTAAAGTACATTTATTATTAATAATACAGAATTTGCTTATTTTGGCCGGAGTTGAGCAAAATCCAAGCCCTTTATCACATTCACAACCGAAGACAGGTCGACCACCATCAACAAAAATTAACAATGCTGTTAAGATGTCTAAACCGACTAATTTGGAGAATATGTTACGTAAACCAAGGCCTGCTTCGAGGGAGAAGGAGAAAAGTGAGAAAACAGCTGAGGAGGTGAGTGATTTTGATTTTGAATCTACATTCGTGGAATGTTTGGAGTCGATAGAGAGAGAAGACTGTCCGATTACCCCAAGTTTACGCCAAATGACTAAATTAATTCAAGCTTCACATGGAGCTATAACTGATCTATTATTAGAAGTTAAAACAGAGATAAGCCGGCTACATGAGGATAATAAAGAATTTAAGACTAGACTTGGATTAATGGAACAGAAGGTTAATAATTTAGAAAAAGCATTGCCGGAACTAAATAGGAAACTAGAAGTCCAAAAATACTTTACAAACGAAATTATAAATACATCAAATCAGTCTAATTTGATATTATTCAAATACCCTTTATCTGATAATATGAATATTAGAGAAAGTCTAGGTAGATTTATGGAAGAAGAGTTGAAGATTACCGAATTTAAGACAGAGGAAGTAAGGGACTATTATGTAATAAAGAAAGTAGCTCCAACTATTTTAAAAGTCACTCTAAGTTCAATTCAGAGAAAAAACCAAATATTATCATTGTTTTATAAGTATAAAAAAGAATCCTCTAATGAGTTATATAGTAAATTACATATAACTCGTGATCTCACTCGAGAATCTAGGGAAAGAAGAGCAAAATTGATCCCATATCATATAGAGGAAAAGAAAAAGGGTAGACCAATTTTATTACGAAATGATTGTCTAATTTACAACAATAAGAAAATTACCTATAATTTAACTGAGAACTGTTTGATGGATACTGGTTCTTTTTTAGAAGTGGAAATCAACTAACTAACATAGCAGCTAAAATAAACCGTAGAGTTGGTAAGAATAGCAGTAATAATTTTATGAAAACAAATTTAACACCAGATAAAGAACCAAAAATTACGATTATAAATTGGAACACTCAAGAACTAAGAAAAAAATTATATTTTACTTATTTCCAAAAATTAATGAAACAATACGAGATCATTAGTTTGGAAGAAACCTGGATTACTGAACTAACTGCTAAAGAAATGGAATTCTTGCAACCCACATTTAACTATTTAACGGCCCCAGCTACAAAAAAACTGGGAGTTGGAAGACCTAAGGGTGGATTGTTGTTATTGGTGAAGAAACACCTGGGAGAGTGGATTTATTTTTATTCTAATGTTAATTTAATATTTGCCATAATTAAAGTGGATGGATTTAAAACAAATTGGAGTCCCAATAGTTATATTGCAATTATAGTCTACTATTCTCCTCCATATGAGTTCCAGCAGTCACCATTCCAAGAAATTGAGAAGATTTATTCAGATTGGTCGCATCTTACAACATCATGGATTATCCTCGGGGACTTTAATGCCAGA